ATGTGGAGCGCTGCCGACGGCCCACCGACGCCCAATGCCGGAACACCCCTCACGAGGATCGTGGCCCTCTGGTCCACTTGAGAGTGGGTTTTCATAAGGACGTCGTTCTGGTTTTATTCGGGAAGGCATTTTGGTTTTATTCGTTTCTGGTTCGTGATGGTTAGGAGGAGGAGGAGGAGGAGGAGGAGGAGGAGGAGGAGGAGGAGGAGGAGGAGGAGGAGGAGGAGGAGGAGGAGGAGGGGGACGAGGGGGACGAGGGAGGAGGAGGAGGAGGAGGAGGAGGAGGAGGAGGAGGAGGAGGAGGAAGAGGAGGAGGAGGTGGGGGACGGGCAGGAGGAGGAGGAGGAGGAGGAGGAAGAGGAGGAGGAAGAGGAGGGGGAGGAGGAGGAGGGGGAGGAGGAGGATGAGGAAGAGGAAAGCGAGCAGGAAAAGAGGAACGCTGTTTTCTCGTTTTTCACAATGGGTTTGCGAACCTCACCTTCGTGTACCATTGGCTCTATAGCCCCTGTATTGTTTTCTTACGAGCGAACGGCGAAATTGTGAGTTTCCGAACCCCTTCTTCGTGTACTATTAGAATCAGTGGGCTTCCGCACCTCATCTTCGTGTACTATTAGCTCTATAGCCCCTGTATTGTTTTCCTATCAGCGAATGGCGAAATTGTGGGTTTCCGAACTCCTGCTTCGTGTACGATTAAATTCCGACTATTCTATGTTAGTCTATGTGGTTTAAACTGATTGTGTGGAACCGAACCCGAACCCGAACCCGAACCCGAACCCTTACCCTTACCCTTACCCATTCATTCTTAGTAGACACGAAGGAGAGGTTTAACCCTAGTAGTAGTAGTAGTAGTGGTGGTGGTGGTGGTGGTGGTGGTAGTAGTAGTAGTAGTAGAGGTGGTGACAGTCGTAATAATAGTAGAAGTAATAGTATTATTATGAGTAGTAGTAGTAGCAGTAGTAGTAGTAGTAATGGTAGTAGTCGTAGTAATAGTAGTCGTCGTAGTAGTAGTGAAAGTAGCAGTAGTCGTAGTAATAGTCGTAGTCGTCGTAGTAAGAGTAGTTTTGGTAGTCGTGGTAGTAGCAGTCGTCGTAGTAGTCGTAGTCGTCGTAGTAGTAGCAGCAGTAGTAGTAGTCATAGTAGTAGTAGTAGTAGTCGTAGTAGTAGTAGTAGTAGTCGTCAAGGTAGTAGTAGTAGTAGTAGTAGTAGTAGTAGCAGAAGTAATAGTAGTAGTAGTAGTAGCAGTAGTAATAGTAGTAGTAGTAGTAGTAGTAGTAGTAGTAGTAGTAGTAGTAGTAGTAGTAATAGTAGTATTAGTAGTAATTGTAGTAGTAGTAGTAGTAGTAGTAGCAGTAGTAGTAGCTTTAGTAGTAGTAGCAGTAGTAGTAGTAGTAGTAAACATGACAACAATACTAGTAGCAGCAGTAGTCGCAGTAGTAGTAGTAGTAGTAGCAGTAGTAGTAGTAGTGGTCGTAGTAGTAGTAGTGGTAGTAGTAATAGTAGTAGTACTAGTACTACTACTAGTACTAGTAGCAGTCGTCGTAGTAGTAATCGTAGTCGTAGTCGTAGTCGTAGTCGTAGTCGTAGTCGTAGTCGTAGTCGTAGTAGTAGTAGTAGTAGTAGTAGTAGTAGTAGTAGTAGTAGTAGTAGTAGTAGTAGTAGTAATAGTAGTGATATTAGTAGTAGTCGTAGTAGTAGTGGTAGTAGTAGTGTTAGTAATAATCTCAAGAATGGTCGTCGGAATCTGCGCGGGCCTTGTCGGCATCGTGGTAACAAACCGCATCTGCGTCGGAATCGTCGTTGTCATCATTGGACTCGTCGTCGCAGGAGTCCTCGCCGAAATCATGTTCTTGATTATCGGCGTCGCCGCCGGAATCGAAGGAGTCGTCGTCGGAGTCGTCGTCGTTGCCGTCGCCGTCGTCGTCGTCAGCGTCGGAGTCGCCGTCAAAATAGTCGTCTGAGTCGTCAGCGTCGGAGTCGTCGTGTTCGTCGTCATTGGGATCGTCGTTGTCGTCCTCAGCGTCGGAGTCGCCGTCATTTGAGCAGGGACCGACCGTCCCCGCATTCCTATAGTCCTACCACGAAATGTTTTTAGAACCCAGAAATGTTCGAAAAACAAAAGCAATTTGCTTAGAGCATAAACCCGATGTGTTAAAACAAGACAATATTATCCAGACATGTTTGAAGAACATTTCGTGGAAACCACAACAGGTTCTTAGAACATTGCTGGGTAGAGCTATAGGCGAGCCAGGACGCTTCGCCACTGCTTGAGTCATAATTGTCGTCGTCGACAGCGTGGTTGTCGTCAGCGTCGTCGTGATCGTCGGCATCGGAATCGTCAATGTACTCCTCCTCCTCGTTCTCCCCCTTCTGCTCGTCCTCTATTTTCTTGCCCTGGACACGGCCCCCTGAATTTGAGCCCGCTGCGCACGCCACAGCAACTATGAACACCGCAACGCTCACGTACTACACGACGCCCGTGTGCGCATTCATTGCCCGTATACACCACTCAGAGCCGGCAACTACAAGCGCCGCGGTCCGACCGCCGTGCCAATGCCTCTCAGCAACAGAACAACACTGCGTTTCCTGAGAGCACCACGCGGCACGCTCGCAAGCGCCGCTTTCCCTCGCGAGTGCCACGGCGCGTCCCAGTGAGCACAACAACATGCCTCTGAACACCGCAGTAGTCTGCGAGCGCCACAGGACGTCCGCGGTCGCACGGGCTCCTGAGGTCCTCGGCCGCTGCCACCTGCATGAGCGTCTCCTCGAATTCGGGTCTGCCCGCCTGCAGCGCCAAACGTGAACCGAGGGCCCACACCCATGCAGGATCGTGCTGGCCCGCCGCCGCGCGGCGTGGAGGGCGCACGGCCCATGGGCCAGCGTCTGCGCCAATCCGTTGCTCAACACCGGCCGAACGCATGAGCCCAAACGGCCACAGACGTCGGGCAGAGAGGAGGGTACCCTTACGTGATGGTGCACGGGGGCGTCTTCAGCGGACATTGTAGACCCAATCAATTAACCAAGAAACGTCCCAAATCTCGACTTGTTCCGTCCTCGATCCTAGATGCCCGATCCTCCAGTAGAGAACAGTCAACTTTCACTCGACTCGACTGCCAGTTTGGTCCATGATCCCTTTATAACTCACGAGCCCCACGCCGAGTGCTGCCGTAGATGGGAATGGACGAACAAAAGCGTGCTGAAAGAAACGGCACGGTTACAGCTACACCCTGCGAAATGCTTAAGAAATCATGGGTCAAGAAATTCATAGTCTCAGAACTTGAATAAAAGCCCAGCATTCCTATTAAAATCTTAAGATTTACATTGAAACGTTAAGAATAATCGAGACTCTGGCCGAAAACTTAAGTTTTCTTAAGCATCGCCTAAGGTGTACACGCTCCCGTGGCAGATCCAGGCACAACTACGAGACCGCGGGAACTTTGTTCCGACAGGGGGGAACACCAGGACGAGGAGGGAGGGGTGCACACCGGAGGCCCGGAGCGGCCCAGAACAGGCCGGAGGCCAGGAGCAGGCAAAAACTCCAAGCTTAACTGTTCCTGCTCGATCCCAGATGCCTCCGCAGGTGCAGCGACTCACAACTTCGCCGCGAGCGCATCTTGAAATTCGAGCCCCGATCAGGGATCCTCGATCCTGAAGGGCTCTCGATCCTAAGTCCTTGACCCTCGATCCTGGGTTCTCGATGCTCGGCGACGGAGAGAACGCTCCAGCAAAAAAAAGCAACCGCTTGTGATCCCCACCTCTGCAGACCAGTCCTCTGAAACACTGGCCGGGGCCCAGACCTTGAAGAACGTCTGTAGGCAAGGGAGGCAAGGGAGCCCGTGCCACCTTGAGGAGCGCAAAACATACGGAACGAAGGGGGCCCTTCCTGAACACGGCGGGCCTCGGCCACGAACAGGTCCCCCCCGCGCCCGAAGCCCGAGGAAGGAGCCGAAAAGCATGGCACCGCCTGAACGCGGGTTCGCCGAAGAGGGGGGCCAGAGAGAGGGGGGTATAGTGCATCATGGCCCGAGGCATGTGCGCGGACGAGGAGAGGGGGACAGGGGGCGTTCGGAAAGGAGAAGACGAAGAAGGACAATAATAATAAGACTAATAATAATAGTAGTAAGAACAGTAATAATGATACTAAGACTGACAGTAATCATCAAATAAATAAAAGACGGAAAACGAGGAAACTTCTAACAACAAGGGTACTAAGCATAAGAGAAGACGAAGAAGAAGAGGGGCGTATGCCATGTGAGATCTCACGGCCCTGGCAACGAGATCCACACCTCTGGTCGTCACCTCCCTCTTGGAACCACCGATGAACCCAGTGTGATCCTTCCGGCTGGTCTGTGTTTTGACGACCCCGGCGTTGGCGGGATCGGCGGCTTTCCGAACGCCAGGTCGTCCTAATTATACTGGCCGACTCTGGGCCGCTGGCGGCGATGCCACCGCGTCGGCACGACACGAGCCTATCTTTAGCAGAAGGGACGACAACTACATGTACATTTACATTTAGCAGAAGGGACGAACCTATCTTTAGTAGAAGGGACAACAACTGCATTTACATAGTTACGTAAACGTTCGGAGGTCCGCGCGGATTCTCTTGGATCTGCGCCGGACCCGCCTCCCTGGCCGCGCGGAGCGCGGCAGGCGCGGCGCCGGAGGCGCGGCAAGGGCGGTCCAGGCGCCGACCCGAGAAGTCCGCGCGAAGCTCCGAACATCTGTGCGTAGGCCGCTCTTTCTCCTCGTCGAGGCTTGGCGGTGGAGTTCGCAGGAGTCCGCAGGAGGCCGCATGGACTACGACGACGGCGACGACGGCGACGACGACGACGACGGCGGCGGCGGCGGCGACGGCGGTGGCGGCGGCGACGACGGCGACGACAGCAGCGGCGACGACGACGACGACCGATGACGGCGACGGGCGTCAAGGGCGACGACGACGAGGACGAGGACGACAACGCGGACGACGACGACGACGAGGACGACAACCCGCAGCGCGGCGCCTCCGAGCCGCCGCGCGGCGCCGGGCCGCACGCCGCCCCCGAGAACCGCAGCGGCTCCACGAGCTCGCCACCGCCAGGGCTGTCGCCGGCCTGCGCGGGCTCCGGTCGCCGGTCGCCAGCCGTCCGTCGTTGTTCGTCGTCATCGTCGTCGTAGTCGTCGTCGTCGTCGTCGTCGTCGTCGCTCGACGTCCGTCGTGGTCGTGGTCGTGGTCGTGGTCGTGGTCGTGGTCGTGGTGGCGGTGGTGGTGTTGGTGGTCTTCGTCGTCGTCGTTGCCGGCGTCGTCGTCTTCCGCAATTTATGCCGTCAAGGGCATGCCTCGGTCAGAGTGGGACGACCTACCACGAAACATAAACTTCACTGACCCCACCACGCTGCAGTTTGGACGCGGTTGCGCGAGGCACCCCAGCGGTGGGCGCGGCCCTGACTAGGTTGAGACCCAAGATGACGAACCAACATTCCAATCCCGAACGACATGTTTGACAGAGTGGACTCCCAACAATGGGTACCAAATTCCCACGGATCCTCCTATTATGCTGCGTCTCCACTTCCCGAGGCTCCGTCACTCTGCCTGGCTCCTCGCCATGTTTCTCCTCACCTGCTCTGCCAGCCACCCTCCCCTCTCTCTCCCTTTCCCCGTTTCCTCCACTCCGTTCCGTCTTCACCCCCTTGGCCCTCAATCTCTCTCTCTCCTCGCTCTGCCCCGCCTCCAAGATCACGGGGAACTCGTGGGTCCCCGTGTAGTGGAGCGTGAAGGAGCACTCCTGCCGAGTCCCCCTCCCGGCACCGTCCACACCCCTTCAACCCTGCACACACACACACACACACACACGCACACTATCCCCAGGCGCGCCGGTGAAGTGCAATCGACGGTTCAAGCAGAACTAGGCAAGGACACGCACAAAGTAGCTAGATTGACACGCTTAAAGCTGAGAGTCCCGGACACACAAACATACACACCTATACATTTATATATATATATATATATATAGATACACATACATATGTATACATATATCTATATATATATATATGACAAACTTTTCGGGCGCTCAGAGGGTCGGAACACACACACACACACAAACACGCAAACACAACACCCACACACACACACGCACACACACAAAAACACACAAACACACACACACACACGCGCACGCAAACACACAAACACACACACAGTCACACGTGTGACACATTTTTCCTCGGCAGCAGCAAACGCGGTTTCTGGCGGCCAGCCAATCCCGGGCAGCATAAGATTGTGGACAATCGGCGACGCGCCCAGGAGGAAACGAGAAGGAGCGAACCTTCTCAAAGGCGGCGGGCCTTCTCGGGAACCTTCTGGCCTTCTCAAAAGTTTTCTGTGTCTTCGGGGAAGACCCGGGAAGCTCCTCGGAAGGCCCAGGCCCGCCCCTTCTCTCCCCCCCAAGCTCGCCGCCGAGACAAGGAGAAGCAGCACGTAAAGCAAATCATCGAGACGAGAGCGAGCCACGCGCACGCCCGGACGGACCTGCAGGCGCGGCCGCGCGCGCAAAGACAGACGCAGCGCAGCCAGGCAATCGGCCAACCCGAGAGAGTGCGGCGGGACCTCGCGCAGCGCTGTGCCCACACAGGCGCACTTTTTGGCGCGAACCGTCGAGGCACAGGTGCGGCGGACACGTGCGCAGGGCGAGCCACGCGCGCATGTGGACACACCGCTCATACCGTGATGAGGCGACAGTGCACGAGATCCACTTCGCACGCAAGATCAATAGCCCAGGCACGTGGAACCGGGTACGCAAGAAGACGCAGGGGAAAAAAACTTACCTGCCAGCTGAAATCTGAGCATACCCCCTGCATCCCGTGAAGAAGACGCAGCAGAAGCCGTGGGGGCGAGCTGACGCTGCGATGCCTGCATGTGTTGACCGGGCACAGGAGCCAACGAACAGAAAGCGACGACCGATTGACCCAGGGGCGCATTGTACTTACAGTCGGGGCGTTGACCTAAGGAACCCTAAATAAGGAACAAGGCCCCTCTTTTCCATAAGTTGAGCTTCGATTTAAACCTAAGGGAACCCCGAGGCAAACTGTAAAACAATCAAGGAACACCGAGCCCCTCCCCAACGAAACGCGTTCCTTCTTCAAGGCCCCGACTGTACGACCATGCCCTCCGGGGCCGCCCAGGGCCCCGCAGGCCGCCCGTCGGGCCCCACCCCCACCGCATCCCCAGCCCCCTCTCACCACCGCTCCCGCCCCCGCTCGAAGAGCGCCTCCCCACCCCGACATCGCCCAGAACGTACACATCACCCACGAACGCACTCGTTTTGCTCGCCGCGGCCCTGCAAAACAGGCGCCACTGATGCCACGGGCCACTTGTCCGAGCGCGATGCCGCGCCTCGACGTCGGGCAGGGAGCGTCACTGACAACGCACTGACAGGTCACGGACGGGCCACTGTCAGGCTCGTGACAAGTCATCGGCAGCTCACTGACAGGTCACTGACCCGCCACTGATCAGTACAACTCACTGACAGGTCGGCCCGTAAACCATAACCCAGAACCAGTATTCCGCCAGCTTCGTCGATTAATGCAGGATGACGATTCATAAATAAGGGGAACAATTTAAACATAGTTTCTTTGATTTCTATACGATTTTTCAACAGGAAGAGGACGATTGGAAAGTATGTCTCCGAAGGCCCTTCGTGGTAGGGTCCACATGGCAGCCTCGGGCCACTTCGCCACACCCCGCACACGCTTGACGGCCCCATAGAAAGCCCCACCGAAGGCCACAGTGGCAGGGTCCGCATGGCGGCCTCGGGCCGCAGGGTCCGCATGGCGGCCTCACACGCTTCGCGGCCGCATAGGGAGCTCCACCGAAGACCACAATGGCAGGGTCCGCATGCTGCACATGGTTGGGTCTTGCACCTCCTTATCCTCCACTTGCAAATTACAGCTCATGGCAACTACAGATCCGATACGTTCGTCGTTGTAATTGCATCCCGCTGCTGTTGCCCCCGCTCCTTTCTCCTGGACCCCCATCCCTCCTAACCTTCCGCTTCGGCTCCGTCTGGTCCGTCGGCTGTCCGGGCGCGCGCCCGAGGACGGCAGGGCGGGGACGATTAAAAAAATATAGCTTCCCAGCCCGCGGCTGGTTTCTTCCTAATCATGCTCCGGGGCGCCGCCGACGCAACACGACCCCCGGTCATTTATGCGCAATGCCAAGCACATGCCAATGCGACCATGGTCCCCCTGGGCCCTCTGGGACTGCACCATGTCAATATGATTTCCTCGTGTAGCCTCATTTGGGCCAGGAGAGGGATCAAGGTACGGCAGGTTCGCGTCGTGTCGACCGGTGGCGACCCCGCCGCCGTCGTTGAATGTCGAACGCGCCCGGCGAACCAGAATCGGTCGGTGTTGAACGATCTTACATTTCGGAAGCGGCCGATCTTTCAAGGTTGAACGATCCGCGCGGTGTCAGGTACCAACGCCAGGGTCAAGGGGATTAGGGCGTACGGAGAATGGGGTACCACTAGGAAGGGGGGGGGTCGGGAGCAAAGGGGGAGAGGATGAGGAGGGTATGGGGACAGGCGGGAGGGGCCGGAGAGGCCCTTCGGAGGCCCTCGCACGGGTCCTGGCGCCCCTTAGAAATGTGACACGGAGCCAGAACGAGGATACATTCGGGTGAGGGCTAATCGAGAATCTCTGAGATCCGGCGGCTCTGGAGGATGTCTCGGGCGCCGCGGCCGTCTCAGAGCGTTAGAGCGTTCCGGAACGCTCTGGAACGGATGCATCCTCGTCCCAGCCCCATTCGAAGATTGGCCAAAGAGGACACCGCGTTCTAAGTTCCTGTCCCAGCGCTGCACAAATCCACACCCAACCCGTGCTCAAGACCCGACGGTCGAAAACTGGCACGAGATTTCCTTTCGACGCACAGCAGGAACTTGCACGCCTCACGCGGCAAGCGAAGCTTCGACGGGACCTGCGCAACCCAGCAGCGCGCACACACTTCTGTTGGGCGGTCGCGGGCTCGCGCGCGGCGGCGAGGTGGAGCAAGTCGAGCAGTCGGGGGCGAGCGAGCGAACGCAGAAACGCACACGCACACACACACACGCACACACACACGCACACGCACACGCACACGCACACGCACACGCACACGCACGCACACGCACACGCACACGCACACGCACACGCACACGCACACGCACACGCACACGCACACGCACACGCACACGCACACGCAAACGCACACTCACGCACACACAGATGCACACCGGGCGAGGGGGAGCTTCGATCGAACCGCGCACACGCCAACGACACAGCTATACAGACACACGCACACGCACACACACTTTGGCGATCGCGGCCTCGCGCGCAGCAGCGAGGCGGAGCAAACAGGAGCCCCGAGCAAACGGAAGACGCGCGCGGCCGGCCCCGCAGGAGACGGCGCGGGGATCCGAAGCGGATCGACCACGCCCTACGCATGCCATGGCAGCGAGGGAGAACAGCAGCCATAGTACAGTCGGGGCGCTGACCTAAGGAACCCTAAATCGGGAACGAGGCCCCTGTTTTCCCATAAGTTAAACTTCGACTTCCCATGGGAAACCTAAGGACAACCCAAGGCGAACTGTAAAACAATCGAGGAACACCGAGCCCCTCCCCAACGAAAAGGGTCCCTTCTTCAGCACCCCGACTGTGGCTGGGTGTAAGTGGAGGCGCAAAATCGTCAGGCAGCGACGAGATGACAAAGCAGGACAGGAAGGCAGGGAGGCCGGCGGCATGGTGGACAGTGGAAGCAGTACCCAAGGCCCCCCCCCCCCCCACACACACACACACACACACACACACACACACACACACACACACACACACACACACACACACACACACACACACACTCACACACACACACACACGCAAAAACAAACACACTTATCCACCAGCGGCGAGGTGACGACACCGTCGCGATGCGCTAAGCCAGGTCACGCTCAGGCGAGTAATCGCCTGGCGTAGCAGAACAAAGAAACGCACGCACACACACACACACTCACACACTCCCCCCTCCTTCCCCTCAGGCCCTGTCCCCTCGTTCCGCCGTCGGCCTCTCCCCCTTCGCCCCTGCTCACCCCCAACCTTTTGTCCCCTGCTCCCTTCCGCTGCCCTCGCCCGCCCCCCCCTCTCCCCCCCGCCCCCCCCCGTAGAGATTGGGACGCGGGGGGGCACGAACAGGATGGGGAGGGGGATGAGTAGCAGAAGCGCCAGCAGGCGAATGGGGGTGGCGACGCGGACGGGGAGGACGACCTCAAAAAGCGTGAGGGACGAGAAGGGAGAGCACGAGGACGAGGACCAGGACGAGGGTGAGGACGAGGGAAGTAAGGACGAACGAGCAGGGCGAATCAGGTGGAGGACAGAGGGCTGCGCACAGCCTCCCGCCCAGACTCCTCGCTGTCGGCACGCCCCGTGCACTTGCCCTGCGACCGGAAGGTCGTGCCCTCGTCCGAGTACGACTTGGCGAAGACCCGCGAGTCCCTGCGGGGCAGCCAGAGGGAGGCCTACTGCTGCGCGATCTGCCCATCACTAATTCCTAGTCGTCCGGTCCTGGTTCTGCCTCCTCTTCCCGCCCCTTCCTTCGCCCTCTCTCCTCCCCAGTCCCCTATCCCCCTCACCCACCCTCCTCGCCTGCCCACCACCGCCTTCACCCCGCTAGCAGACCCCCTCCATATCCTCGTCATCCGCCGTCGCTTCCTCCTCCTGCTCATCCTGCTGCTGCTGCTGCTGCTGCTGCTGCTGCTGCTCCTCCTCCTCCTCCTCCTCCTCCTCCTCCTACGCCCTCATCCGCCTCACTGTATTCGGGCCTCTGCCGACCCTCCTCCTCCTCCTCCTCCTCCTCCTCCTCCTCCTCCTCCTCCTCCTCCTTCTCATCCTTCTCATCCCCTGTTCCTCGCACGCATCCTCGTGCTCCCCCTCATCCCTCGGGGCACAAAAAGAGGTACCGATACCGCCACTCCGCAGACCTCTCCAAGGGTGCGTTCCGACCAGAACTTCGAGGCGAGTCTAGCCGTGGTGATGACAAGAGGGTAAGGGTATCGGCAGTTTGTCTTCTTCTGAGTCTAGAGGGGGCCCGCGCGGATTTCATGGATCGGCGCTTGACCTCACATTTGAATGGCAAGCGGAGTGGGCCATGGGCGGCGCTGGAGGCGGCGCCAGTGGGGCCCAGCGCAAATCCACTAAATCCGCGCGGAGCTTGGAACATTTATGCTTCTGCGGATGTTCCTAGAAGATTATTCGAGACCCCCCCTCCCATGCCTCACGCCCGCCGCCATAGCGCTCCCCTGCAGCCCGATGCCGTTCTCCCCCCCTCCTGTTGGGACAGAAAGTGCCGATACCACTACTCTCCGGGCCTCTCCCGGGGTGCGTTCTGACCACAATCTCGAGGAAAATCCAGCCGTGGCGACAATGGCTCTCCAAGACGAGCGGCGGTATCGGCATCTCCTCCACTCTTGAATATCCCAGCGTTCCCCCCAGAGAGGCGTGCCGCTCCGCTGTACAGGAGCAGCAGGACGTGTCCTGCAGGCGGGTCCCTGACTGACCTGAGGTGTCTGCGGAGGCTCCTTTCCAGCGTGCTCGCGGCCCAACCACTTGACAGGAGGCTCTCTGGGGCGAGGGTTGCCAACGTAGCTCCAGCTCCCCTGAGGTGCGATCCTGGGGAAACCAGAAGGTACCCAGGCTAATGCCGCCACTTCCCAGGACCTGGCCAGAATTTCGAGGCGAAATCCAGCGCTGGCGACGAGGGCTTCCCAGGAGGCCCCCACATGGGGGAAAACGAGGCAAGGGTCTCGGTTTCGGTACGGTAGCTTCGTGTCGTGCTGACTTCGGCGTTGGTTTCTGACACCGCGGAATTCGTTCCACCTTGCACGATCGGCCGTTTCCGAATAGTCGGATCGCTCAACACGAACCGATTCTGTGTCGCCGGCGGCGTTCAACGTTGAACGCCGCCGGCGGGGTCGCCGCCAATCGACTCGACGCAAACCTATCGTGCTTTGTCCCCCTCTGACCTGCGGCCCCATCCCGTCGACCCTAGAAGAAGAACAAAAGCTGGATAAACATAAACTTTTGGCGCTCCGCGCGGATTTTCCTGGATCTGCGCGGAACCCCCCTACCGGGCGCGCCGAGCGCGCCAGGGGCGGCGCCGGAAGCGCCTGGGGCTCAGGCGCCGATCCGAGAAATCCGCGCGGAGCGCCAACTGTTTGTGTTTATGCCGTTTTTTGTTCTTCGCCTGTGGGAGCGTTCTGACCAGAATTTCGAGGTGAATCCGGCGGTGGCCACGAGGGCCTCCCAGGAGGCCCAACAAGAGGGAAACAGGGGCAAGGTTGCAGTACACCCTGCGAAATGCTTAAGAAATCATGGGTTAAGAAATTCATAGTCTCAGAACTTGAAATAAAAACGAGAATTCCATTTAAATCTTAGGATTTACATTGAAACGTTAAGAATAATCGAGACTCTGGCCGAAAACGTAAGTTTTCTTAAGCATCGCCGAGGGTGTACGGGTACCTTTTCCTCCTCAGATAATCTTCCTCCTCAGTCAACTGCACGCAAGAGTGACCCTGGGTAAGAGTGACCTTTGGTGCGCGGCTTTTTGGGGGCCGCGGGGGGGCCAACCACAAGCGCGCAGGGCGCTACTTTCGCATCGCGCTCGGCGATAAAGGGACCCACCTGTGCCCGCACCAGAGGTCACTCCGGCGAAGGGCCACTCCTGCGTGCAGTCGACTCAGCCCTGCGGCCCGATCCCGCCGTGCCCCCCTCTCCGCCTGAGGGAGCTCTGGGCGTAGGCGCTGGCCGTGACCTTCTGCTCCTCTCGGCGGCGGCGGCCGGGCGCGCCGCGCCGCTCGGCGGGCCCCGCCCCAAAGGGCGGAGGGCGGCTCGAGCAGAGCGCGCCGAGACTCCGGCTCGCCATCGTGGGGGGGCCCCTCTCGGCGATCCGCCTCGGAGCCTCGGCCCTCGCTGCTCCTCGGTCCGCCTCGAGCCTCGGTCCTGGCTCCCTCCCCTTCGATCCTCCTCGGCCTTCGGTCCTTCTCCTCCTCCCTCTCCTCCTGTTGCTGCTCCCTCCTCCTCCTCCTCCTCCTCCTCCTCCTCCTCCTCCTCCTCCTCCTCCTCCTCGCTCCTCGCTCCTCCTCCTCGCTCCTCCTCCGTGCGCGCCTCCGCCTCCGCAGCAGGAGGCTGTCGTCGACCTCAGTCCCCTCGCTTTTCCGACACCCGCCAGACTGCCGGAGCCCGTGGGTGGACTCCCCTCCCAGCTCCCGGCTCTGCCACGTCTGCCTGCGCCCCCCCCCCCCCCGTGCCCTCTGCCCCGCCCCCTTCCTCCCCTTGGGGGGGCAAAAACGGAGCAGACATGAAGACAAAGGCAGGACAGGGGCAAATCCGGGTGGAAATTACATCGAGAACCTCTGAAATCCGGCGGCTCTGACAGAGGTTCGGGCGCCGCGGCTTTCTGAGAGCGTTCCGGAACGCCCCGAGAGCGTTCCAGCACCCTCTGGAACGGATTTTTCGTCGTCGTGGCCCTTCCCAGGACGTACACATGTTCCCAGCCATCCTGTGGTGTTGGGTCCTCGTTTTGAAAAGACGGTCCCCGCGCTCCTTTCTTCTCATCCTCCTCCTCCCCCTCCTCCCCTCCCTCCTCCTTCTTCCAAGCGTTTCACCCACCCAGTACAGCGTTTCGTGGCCCCAGAGGGAGCTCCACCGAAGCCCCCAGTGGGACCGCCCGCGCGCGTCCCCCACACCCAATCTGGCGTATTCACCCACCCAGTACAGCGTTTCGTGGCCCCATAGGGAGCCCCACCGAAACCCCCAGTGGGACCGCCCGCGTGCGTCCCCCATACCCAATTTGGCATTTACACCCACCCAGTACAGCGTTTCGTGGCCCCATAGGGAACTCCACCGAAGCCCCCAGTGGGACCGCCCGCATGCGCCCCCCACACCCAATTTGGCATTTTCACCCACCCAGTACAGCGCTTCGTGGCCCCAGAGGGAGCTCCACCGAAATCCCACCGGGACCGCCCGCGTGCGTCCCCCACACCCAATGTAGCATTGTCACCCACCCAGTACAGCGTTCCGTGACCCCATACTGGGCTCCACCGAAGCCCCCAGTCGGACCGCCCACATGCGTCCCCCACATCCGATTTCGCATTTTCACTCATCCAGTACAACGCTTCGTGGCCCAATAGGGAACCCCACTGAAGCCCCCAGTGGGACCGCCCGCATGCGTCCCCCACACCAACGTTTCGTGGCCCCGTAAGGAGCCCCACCGAAGCCCCCAGTGGGACCGCCCGCGTGCGTCCCCCACGCCCAATTTTGCACGCTCACCCACCCAGTACAGCGCTTCGTGACCCCATAGAGAGCTCCACCGAAACCCCCAGCGGGACCGCCCACATGCGTCCACCCAGTACAGCGCTCCGTGGCCCCATAGGGAGCTCCACCGAAATCCCCACTGGGACCGCCCGCGTGCGTCTCCCACACCCAATGTGGCATTACCGCCGACCCACTACAGCGCCTCGGTGCTCCATAGGGAGCCCCACCGAAGCCCCCAGTGGGGCCGCCCGCATGCGCCCCCCACGCCCAGTTTTGCATTTTCGCCCACCCTTTCCTACGCTTCGCGGCCCCATGGGGAGCTCCACCGAAGCTCCCAATGAGACCGCCCGCGTGCGTCCCACACGCCTAATTTGCTATTTTCACCCACCCAGTGCAGCACTTCGTGGCCTCATAGGGAGCTCCACCGACGGCCCCAGTGCTACCGCCCGCATGCGTTCCCCCCCCCGCCAAGCGCAGCGCTTCGTGGCCCCATAGGGAGCTTCATCGAAGAAGATATTCACAATTGCGGTACCCACAACTTCATATGGTTGGGTCCTTCGCCAAGATAATGTTGTTTCCTTCGAGCGTCCATCCCTCCACGGGGGGGAATGGCAGTCGTACCTCGTCCGGAAACACACAAACATAAACTTTCGACGGTCCGCGCGGATTTCCTGGATCTGCGCTGGACCTCCCATCTCTGGCGCACGGAGCGCGCAAGGAAGGCCTCAGTGCAGAACCGAGACGTCCGCGCGGAACCTCTGAGAAAATGTGTTCACGCAGTGTTTTATCTTTCTCGCCTGCCCCGGGCCATCGCTCGGACGTCCATTCCCTGTGTTTTGTTTCGGTTTCGTGCGCGGTTTTTCGCAGGAAGATCCAGGATGCTCCTTGAGAACCCCCGCCGAGAAAAAGTGCACACGTCCGAGCGATACCAAGGCCCTCGCTCGCGCCGCTGCCAATATCTTTCTCCCTCTCTGGCGTTGCCCATCCCTGAGGGCGTGGTGACTGGCCGCGTGGGGGGGTGGCAGAGGCTCACACGCTTCGGTCGTTGGGGCAGTGGGCCCGCCGGCGCGCACCCGGCGCCTCTGCGCGCCCAGCTGGGGCACGCGATCGACGGTCTCCAGCCAAAAGCCCCCCTGCCGTGCCAGCGACGGTCTCGACGCAGTCAGCACACGACGGCCTCAAACCAAAAGCCCCCCAACGCTGTCAGGATACGACAGCCCCAAGCTGTGGCATACGACGGTCTCAGATCAAAAGCCCCTGCCAATCTCCCCGTGCCCGTCCCCGATGGCCGCGTATCCGCAGGGTCGCGCCCCAGAGCCCAGACAGCGAGGGCGCGGATGCGGATCCAGCCAAAGCGCTGAGACACGGACCGCTTTGGGCTAGGGAGGGGCTTTGGCTGTCGGGCCCGTCTTTGGATCTGGGTCGGGAGATTTTAGTCAGCGGCCGCGGGCGAGCGCGCCAGCGGCGAGTCAGGTCAAAGCGGGCTACGCAGAGACTAAGTAGGCAGAGGAAACGCGAGAGATCTAGGTCGGGAGACGTAGTCGTGGCGTCGGCCCGCCGGCCACGCGGGATCCCGCCAGCGCGCGAGCGCTGCCTGCGCCCTCCTGGCCGCGGAGCAGCAGCGGCGGAGGTCGACGCCGCCTGCAGCAGGGCCCTCCTTGCCGTCGCCTTCGGCTGCCGCGCCGTTGCAGCGGACCCTCCGCCCATGTGGCCCATGTGCCGTCGCGGTACTGAACACGAAAATCGTCTCCTCCTATTCCTCCGCCTAGTCCTCCTCCTATTCCTCCTATTCCTCCTATTCCTCCTCCTCCTCCTCCTCCTCCTCCTCCTCCTCCTCCTGCTCTCCTCCTTCTCGTCCTCCTCCTCCTCCTCCTCCTCCTCCTCCTCCTCCTCCTCCTGTGCATCTACCCCAGCTTCGATTCCAAGAGTCATTACGTGGATGTCCTGCTCCTCCTCCATCCTCCGTCCTCCTCCCTTTCCTCCTGAAAGTCCTCATGTGAGAGGAAGCCCCTCCCCCCTCGAACGAACAAAACCTCTCACACCATTCGAACCCCTGTCCATGCTGCACTTCTTCTCTTCCTCACTCCTCCTCCTCCTCCTCCTCCTCCTCCTCCTCCTCCTCCTGCTCCTGCTCCTCCTCCTCCTCCTCCTCCTCCTACCCCTCCTCCTCCTTATGATTGCTGACGTTGGTCAATATTTTGCTCGGTGTCTGAAACCTTCCTGTCGAAAAAACAATGCGAGGCCGATTTAGGCATCGAGATGAAACACATTCAGCAGACGGCGCGTGCCGAACAGGGCATGCAAGCAAATGAAGAAAGAACCACATCGCTCTTGATCTTCCTC